TGAGAGCTGGACCATAAAGAAGGCTGACTGCTGAAGAATTGATGCTTTTGAATTGTGGTGCTGGAGGAGACTCTTGAGAGTTCCCTGGACTGCAAAGAGAACAAATCTATACATTTTGAAGGAAATCAACCCTGAGTGTTCACTGGGAAAACAGATCCAGAAACGGAGGCTCCAATACTTCGGCCATCTCATGAGAAGAGAAGACTCCTTGGAAAAGACCCTGATGTTGGGAAAGTGTGAAGGCAAGAGGAGAAGGGGACGACAGAGGAGGAGATTGCTGGGCAGTGTTATCAAATCTACCAACATGAACTGAGGCAGTGGAAGACAGGGGGGCCTGGCCTGCTTTGGTCCATTGGGTCACAAAAAGTCGGAGACTTAACGACTAAACGACAACAAATTTCTACAATATTGTAGGACGGTGGCCAGCAGTGGCAGTCATTTCCTTTTTTTACCTCCCGCCCCCTTTATCTTTGTAAACTGTTCCAGCATTCTGTCCTCTGAAGATGCCCATGGCCACAGAGACTGGCGAAACGTTAGGAAGAACAACCTTCAGAACATGGCCAAAGAGCCCAAAAAACCCACAACAACCAAAAGAAAAAATTGCTGGTGATTGACAGGGGTTGAAAGATTCTTGATATCAGTTTTCAGTGTATCTCAACACTAGTGGATAATGGCATTCTAATGCACTGTAAAATGATTTTACTGTTACTATGTTGTTGTTATGTGCCGTCATGTTATTTCCAACCTTGAATTAGTCTTATAAATAAATAATCTCCAAAAGGTTCTTTCACAAAAAGCCGTGTTCAGACCAACTAATGGTCGTGGATTATTGATTCAATCCATCCCACATTTGATCTTCCTCTTCTCCCACTGCTATCTACATTCCTAGCATTGTGGGTTTTTTCCTGTGAGTCTTTTCAAGATTTGTGCTTGTCCTTGACCAGCTGGGTTGCAATGGCTGTTAATTGAATATCCTACTATATGGGGTGGACATAATTTCCCCAGTAGGATGCCAAAAGATCAAAGATTTTACACATTTATTTTTTTGCATATCAGTTATACTGTGATCTGAGGAGTCAGTATAATGAACCACTTACGAATAGTTTTAGACAGACTACTGTCCAAAAGGAAATTATATTTATTTTGGCTGGAATAGAGAGGCTCCGCAGAAGACAGAATTGTATACATCTATTGGATGATAATCATGCCAGTTCAATTAAATAGTAGTTCTTTTTTGTTTTGTTTTATCTAATTGATTTATTGAGTATCTTGCTATTATGTATTTTTGGGCTTTGTTTATAGTTTTCTTGCGTGTACAAAAGGCCTGGTAAGCTAAGAAGCAATAAACTGAACAGAGGTCTTTAAACTTTAATTGAAGCTGTTTCTGCTTCAAAGCTGTTTTTCTCATTTATCTTGGATTTAAAGAGCCATTCGAGAAATATTTTTGTTGTCTCAGCTTCCCAACTAATGGCCATAAAACACTGGAAGCAAGTCATTAGTCAGGGAAGTTATTATATACTGAGTAATGCAACGGCTGCTCCATACATTATATTGTTTATTTTGCACACTTTATTCAACCCTGGCCTGTGCGCCCCCCAATGGTTACATCAAAGCTCATGTTCAGAATCTCTTATTGAAGTTCCTAAGATCTAAAAAGTCTTGAACTTCAATTAACGTAACATGTGAGTGAGCCTTGTGGAATGGAAGGATGGATGGAGACCCTCGTGGCACAGTGGTTAAACTGTACTACTGCAGTCAAGAATCTGCTCACAATCCAAATTCAATCATAAAGTCCACCAATTGATAGGCTACACAGATGCAGCAGTAGGCTCATGTTTCTGTCAAATGGAAGTATTATACAGCGGACCCTCTACTTAAGGAATTAATCCGTATTGGAATGGTGGCTGCAAGTCGAAAAGTCTGTAGGTCGAATCTCCATTGACCTACAATGCATTGAAAACCGATTAATCCCATAACCAGCGGTTTTTATTCTATTTTTGTTCCATTTTGGTTTTTTTCTGGTCTGTAAGTCGATTCTCTGGCTGTAAGTCGAATCTAAATTTTGCAGCCAGAGAAGTCTGTAACTCGAAAAGTCTGTAAGTCGAGCCTTCTGTAAGTCGAGGGTCCACTGTATCAACTTCTGACCCAAGAAGCAGCCATACTGTAAGAAATGCTGGGGAAATGGTTAGAGGAATGGAAAATTTGAGAAAAGGAACTAGAAATACAACAGGAGAAAACATCAACAACCTTCATTATAAATTACTGGAAGGAGGATCCAATATACAGTGGTGCCTCACTAGACAGGTACCCCTCATGACAGTTTTTTCGCTAGACATTGACTTTCTGCGATCGCTATAGCGACTCGCAAAATAGTGATTCCTATGGGGGAATTTCACTGGACAATGTTTGGTCCCTGCTTTGCAAACCAATTTTCGCTAGACAACTATTTTGACAGCTCGTGCTCGCAAAAGGGGTGTTTTCGGGACCCAAGCTTCGCAAGACAGCTATTTAAACAGCTGATTGGCGGTTCGCAGAGCAGCTTTCCTATGGCCAATCTTCGCTAGACAACGATTCTTCCCCATTGGAACGCATTAAACAGGTTTCAATGCATTCCAATGGGGAAATGCTTTTCGCTAGACGATTTCGCTAAACAGCAATTTCAGTGGAATGGATTATCATTGTCTAGTGAGGCACCACTGTACAGAACTTTTATCATTTGTGTGCGGGCTAGTGTAGGTTGATACATGCCAGTTTGTTGCTTTATTAATACTGCTGACCCCGCAAAAACTGCTGCCTGAAGCAGTTTAAGGCTAATCTGCTGCCTGCCCTGAAGTGAGACAATTCCGGCTTTAAATAGCTCAGTGGCTTAGGTCTGGTTGGGAGTTCAATTCCCCGCTGTGC